CATGTTTTGTTTATTTGCACTTTATTTGTTTGGTTCACTAAGCCAAAGATATGATTTAAAAAACGATAAACACTGAGTTTGTCAACAGTAATCGGCTGTATTGGAGGCACTGATATGTTTATGTATGCATTTTATACAAATGACAAAAATGACGGTTCAAAAGTAAACAATCGTATTTTCGTTATCTGCTTTAGTTGTTTAAACTTTAACTCTGTTCTTCATATTTTCTATTTAAATACTTGAATACATAGGTACATACATTTGTACATATGTATACGCATACAAACATATATATGTATATTTTTCGGTATTTTCGGCTTTAAAATTTACAATACCTTTCACTTTATCACTAGGTTTTCTTCAAATAAAAAAATTAAATACCTTTTAATTTATTCGAAAATAATACTCAGTCGCTGGCTGCGCCCAATTAAAAGCGACTTAAAGAGTTCATTACTTAAACTGCTACTGTTTGGTTCCTTAGTGGACCCCAACACAGCCAATAAACATGCGATCGTTGCTGCTTCGAGTTCAAATCCTCGCTATCGTCTTAGCCAAGTCTAACAAGAGAATATACAACGGCAAGTGTGTGTTCCATTTTTTTTTTGTTGTGGTTGCTCTCAACCCTTTTCGCACTCTCTTTCTCTCTCTCTCCCTTTCTCTCACTTCTTGATTTTCTTCTCTCTTTTCTGCGCGTATGTGTAGGTAATGTGTAGCCATGAGCGCTCTTATTTAATTATTGAGCCATTTTTCAAGATTAAAACTAGTTTTTATCAAAAAATTCACTTATAAGTATGTATGCATATACACAATATGGTACGTACATTAGGATGGCCCAAAAATATACCGTAAAATCATCTTTCTAGAAATTTTGTTGCTGTTACCCACATACATTTTTGAGTTATCAAAATTTATCGGGTCCTCGGATTGATCGCCTAGTCATCGAAATTAGTCGAATTGTCAAATTTTGTTGAGTTATCAAATTTAACGGTTTGTTAAATTCATCGAATTATCGATATTGACAAACTGGAATGTATCGGGTCAATTCCAAGTCCTTCAAAGATATAAAAGCAATTTTTTAAGCAGATTTTCCGGTAAGTAATTTTGTACCTTATAATTTAAGCGCCTGCTAAGTTAGAAAACCTCCCCAAGGTTCTTAGAAAAACTGTCGAATTTCCCATTTTATTTAAACAAAAACAAAAAATATATACATTGCAAACTACATTCATACATATAGTACCTACATGTGATCTTTCTATATATTTTATTGGAAGATGTCTTACGCCTTTACGAAATCCTGCAAAGGGTGCAAAATAATCACAGCTTTCCATGGTTTAGATAGCACGATTTTATTCCTGTGAGTGTATCCAAGGGCTTTTGCGATAATGAAAGGCACTGTCGAGATGTAACACCGTGGTCCTGCCTGATAAAAATCGGTCAAACAAGCTTTAAAAAGTCAACATTCTTTCTATTTAATATACGCCACATGGCAACTCTTAACGATATCACATGAAGTCTAAGTTTACCACACAAATCTCGTAACTACATATATGTAAATATGTATTTATAAGCATAAATGACTCATTGATCTTACAGAAAGCAACTCTAACCTCAAACACACACACACAGTAACACTCATTTAAGTACATATCAGAGAAATGAAGTTATAACCTGTTCCCACAAAATTTAGTGAGTACCAAGGTGGCAGAGTTCTCGCATAAAATTAATGAGTTATGTATGTACATACATATGCATACATGTATAATTAACTGGCATGATATCACACCTTTAATAATATAGAGATATAACTCAAAATTTACGTTTTGCAGATTTCAATATGCAATTAATAAGCTTGATAAGTAAAATATGTTCAGTCTTAACAGATAATCAAACTTCCCAAATATTTCGAAAATGTGTGTCTTTCCATCAGTCTTTTCCTATACCAACTGTATGAATTGATACAACTTTGTTTGCGTTTTCTCACAAAAATGAAGTTTTTAAATACTTCGTTATATTATTAAACGTGCGATATGTTATACCTGTGCTGGACAAGTGGCAACACTTTCCGCAAGAGTACCTAAATACGTACGGATAGAAACGTTTGCTGAATAGTAAACAGCAAGCCACTCTTGTAAATACAACTAAGCAATGAGCATAGAAACAAAAAATAAACAAATGAAAGCAAATATTTATGACTACATTCCGGGCTTTTGAAAAATGCTCGCAAGCCCTAAATGGGAACGTGATGAATTGCATGAGACGGCCAATGCAGGAGAGCACACCTACAGCCATATTATATGTATATGTATGTATGTACATTAGGGTGGACCGAATTGCATGTGAAAAAGTAAAGTCGGAATTTTTATGCTCTCACCCCCTGGAATTGTTCTACGCCAAAAAATATGTATGTATACCTCTATTTTTTTATTTTGAAATCAAACAATAATTAGAAGTCGGTCAAAGCGCTCAAAGTTTTGCATGTACATATCGTCACCTAAATGCAAAATAACGTAACGACATCATCGTCACTGAAATGGAAAAAGTCATGACTAATTTTTTTTTTTCATAAAACGATGTGGAGAGTTGTAACTCGATGAAATCCATCATAGCAATCAAAAAGTGAATTTTGCATTTTTATAAATTACGACTTTTTGCATTTCAGGTGACGATATGTTTTTATATGGGGAAAACAACTTCGTAGAAGTGGTATAGAATTCATGAAAATCAATATTTTACGATCGGAAAACTCTGTTTCTCGTCAGGAGATTCCCAATAATAATACCCAATTGTTTATTTAACCATTGCTTATAGTAACTACATATGTACATATATTTTATAGATCCTACAAAAACTGCCAAAAATCCCAGAAAATACAATGGGGGAACCAATAAAAAAAAAATTAGTATTCAAAAATGGTTAAATAAACAATTTGGTATTATTATTGGAAGTCTCCTGAAGAGAATCAGAGTTTTCCTATGGACAAATTTTTTTATTTTCAAGAATTCTTTACCGTTTCTACGAAAAAATTGTTTTCCGTTATATAAAATACAAAACAAAAAAAATGTGTATATTTTTTCAGTATAGGACAATCCTAGGGGGTGAGAGCATTAAAATTTCGACTTTCCTCTTCTTTTTTTTTGGACCCCCTAATGTACATATGCATATGGGATTAGCACTTTTCTACCTTGTTAGAGCCATCATCAGCCGCGAGGGCTTCACGCACGCGCAGCTTCTCATTATCATTTCTTAACCGATACATTGCTGATGTTGCTCTTGCTGCTACAATGGTCGTCGTCTACCACGAGCTTTCCTCGCTTTTGCAACTTTTGCACCTTCGCCCCATGTGTGCACATGCCGTTCATCTTCGTCATCATCGCTACCACATTACTATCGTCAGCATTGGGCCTGTTGGCCGTCTCTTTCTTTGCGTAAGCCAGGTAGACGACGTAAGCGTAGAACGGCAGCTCACTGTGTAGCACAACAGCGACAGCGAGCCTGCTTCTGCTGCTGCTGTATGTAAGCGCTTACGCTACGAATGCCGATCGCGTTTTTGTTCCGCTTGAGCGCGAGTAGTGTTTATGGTTATGGTATTGGTATTGTGGTAGTTGGCCAACAAACAGCTCCACACAGCAACAGCAATCGCCCCACGATCGTAGTGAATTGATCTTGCACCGAATTGGTTGGTGTGCTGCTTGTTTGGGATGTTGTGAACCCGCTTTTGTATCATTGTCGACAATACAAATGTTGAATTAAGCAGTGGTGATCTATGTAGTATGTACATCGAAATGAATGCGATTTTTGTAGCCAAGTGTTGGAGTTGCATTGCATTGAACTTGAGTGTAAAATGCGTTGTTGTTGTCGTTATATAAAAAGAAATATTTAAAAATCGAAGTGTGAAACTAAGTTTGGGCGCTGCATTTTTGTAAATTACATATTTTATACAGTTTTTACCAGGGCTGTAAACCGGTTTAGAACCGAACCGTCGCCTTTTGCCTGAACCGAACCATTTTTATTTTGAAATGCCAAAACCGAAAACCACTCAAAAAATGGTTCGGTTCGGTTCAAAATTCACTAAAGCATTTCTCAAGTTTTGTAATACGCAACTTTGTCTAAAAATGCAACCCTATGGAAAAACTGCAAACATTTTTGTGTTTAATGGCATCTCTATGAGTTATAATTTCGCCCATATAAAAAATTCTTGAACTGTTTTTATATGCAAGAAAATGCATAGATATCACCGCTAGCAAAAAATAATAATAAAAAATAAAAAATTGGTACGAATTTTAAGATATGTAATATAAGCTTACATTTATTTTATTTTATTTTATTTTATTTTATTTTATTTTATGTTATTTTATTTTATTTCATTTTACTTTATTTTATTTTATTTTATTTTATTTTATTTTTATTATAATCAATATATCCAATATATCTATAACCAGAACTTGTTAAAATGTCGCGTCCTTATTTATTTTGCCAGAAATGCATAATTAAAATTTCATGAAGAAAATGCGCTTATGTAGCATAAACGGCGCTCTTAGAACCAGAGTAACCTATCCACCACTAAAAAGGTGTTACTTATAGCAATATATATGTGCATATGTGCAATGAAAAGTTTCTTTCATTTGGCCCAAAAGGGGTTATAACGATCGTGATTACGTTCCAGTTTTCAAATACAAAAATTTGCTTTTAGTTCTATATATCTTTCGTTTACTTTAGTAGTAAGGCCCTAGCTCATTTTCTTTCGTAATCCAGCTTTGTGGAAGGGTCGGCAGATTATTAACGAACCATTGAATAGAAATTAAAAATAATTATTTCAGTATTAAATTACATACGACCTTTAATAAAAAGCCAGCGTTTGATGGAAATTCGAAAATAACTGTATGTTTACTAAATTTAATTTTTTTTTTATATTTACATACTATAGATTTCACTAAAAATTAAGCGGATGCTTAAATAAATAGGTACTTAATCCAACGCATGTTTTTTTGTTTTATTTGCAGAAAACTTGGCTTGGATCAAGTGCCACGAATCGGTCCATTAGCAGTTGATCCGCATAACATCGGAGTTGTGGGTCTGTACAACGTGCATGTGACAAGTGCAGATAACGCAAAGGCATCATCGGTAAGACAAACATTTGTATAGTTTATAAATTTTTAATAATACCAATATAATCTATCCATTTTTTTCAATGCAGAGTCGCGGTACGTTACGTCGCAAAGTTCAGCGAAAAATACTTACACACCATTTATACTTTTGTATGCGTGATTTTGGCCACCGTATTGGTGGCGATGACGCTGAGGTATATTTCTTCCTATACGATGCCAATCCATCGCGCATGCGCGCGCTATCAGAACGTTTTTTGGTGAAAATATCAAAAGATGGTTTCTCAAATTATATAGAAAAGTTGCATAGCAACTGTACGGTATTCACAGATTTAGGTATGTTAAGAAAAAAATTTCCATAATAAATTAAGATCATTGTGTATAAACTTTACATGTATGTATGTAACTTGTATATCAAAACTGTTTTCAGGTGCTGTGGATTTGAATGAAGATTTACATTTAGTGGCTGTGGTAATGCGTGTGGGGAAAATCATTCCGTCAGAGACGGGCAAAAAGGTTGAGAAGAATAATAGCCTTTGTTGTACGGGTCCCACTTATCGTCGTCCTTTTGGTGTGGGCGTGTTGCCACTAAATGAAATTATTCACTATGATAGTTCTGTCGAAACAGAGGAGAAGGAATTTAATTTTAAGGTTAGTGTACTCCACTATGAAAAAAAAATCACATAATCATAATTTTATATTTAAAAAACGAATTTCTGGTTGCAATACATATTATGCATTGATAACTTCGTCGATACATATGTATGTAGGTATGTATGTCTCATCGTCATACATGTACTGGGGCCTTGCGACGTCTACTAGAGCTGCCATGTAAAGGAGTGCAAATTCGGTGTTGGTTTTATGGTGGGAGAGCGACTCCGTCGCCGAGTATTGTCGTTTACCCCAGTGGACGAGCATCTAGCCACAATCCGCATCAAAGCGAGATTCTTCAACATCTCACTCATCTGCGCCCATGTCCCGATGGAAGAGAAAGATGAGGTATCCAAGAATCTTTTCTATGAGCGCTTGGAGCGCACGTACGGGCGCTGCCCCGCCATAATATCAAAATCGGGCTTGGCAACTTCAATACCAGGGTAGGCAAGGAAGGGAACTTTGGAACCACCGTCGAAAAAATCAGCCTCCACGACGAAACGTCTGACAACGGACTGAGACTGATTGACTTCGCCGAGGCCCGAAACATGGTAGTATGCAGTATTAGGTTCAAGCTGTCTCCGGATCGAAAAACAAGGAACCGAATCGATCATGTTGTGATAGACGGAAGGCACACTTCCAGCGTTTTGGACATACACTCCGAAGTCAAAACATCAACTCGGAACTATCTTGTTGCAGCCAAGATACGCACCGCNCAGCGAAGATACGCACCGTACTCCTATAAGAACAAGAATGGCGACCTAGTTACTTAAATTATGGAGGGAACACTTTTCCACCATACTGAGTGGTAGCAGAACGGAAAGTTGTGGCGAAGAAGAACCCGAATCCGCAGTCGATTATGACGGACTCGATGTACAACCGCCTGACCATGACGAATAGCAAGAAGCGGCTGAAAACAACAAAGCTGCTGGAGCTGACAGCCTGCCAGCTAAGCTATTCAAGTACGGTGGCGAGCAATATGGTTAGATGAACGCATGCCCGACGACTGGAATTTAAGTGTTCTCTGTCCAATCCAATACCGCGGGATCAGCCTTCTAAGCATAGGTTATAAGGTCTTGTCGAGTGTTTTGTACGAAAGACTGAAGGCCACCGTTAATGAACTGATTGGACCTTATCAGTGTGGCTTTAGACCTGGCAAATCCACTATAGACCAAGTATTCACAATACGCCAAACCTTGGAAAAGACCCGCGAGAAGAAGATCGACACTCACAAGCTATATATTTTTCAATTTTAAAGCCGCTTTCGACAGCACAAGAGGAGTTGCCTATACGCTCTATGTCTGAATTTGGCATCCCCGCCAAACTGATACGGTTGTGTAAAATGACGTTGAGCAATACCACCAGCTCCGTCAGAATTGGGAAAGACTTTCCGAGCCGTTCGCCACAAAACGGGGTTTCAGACAGGGCGACTCCCTCTTATGTAACTTCTTTAATCTGAGTTGGAGAAGATAATAAGAGCTGCAGAACTGAACCGCTGAACTGATGACATCGACATCATCATCGGTAACAAAAACCGCGAAGTCTGTTCTGCCTTTCCAAGTTGGATAAGGGAGCAAAGCAAACTTTGATCGTCGTCTAAATATTTTTTGATTTAAAAAAAACAGGGGTATAATGTTTTCGGTATAGAACAATCCCAGCTTTTATAATTCTCCTTTTCAACCAGTCTGATGATCAGGCGCCTTTCGGATACGAAAATTTTACGGCAAACGCACTACTCACAAAACGTACATTTATTTCCTTCCTTCTAGGCTTACATATTTCTCTTTAGTATTTCACTTAACATGCTTACATATATATTTGTCTATGAATGTAGATACATACATATGTATATAACCATACAATTTTATCTAATTTACTTTCTTTTTTCTAATTATTTTTCGCACAAATCCTAAATAAACGTAGATCTATCAATGCGAAGAAAAAGACTTTCATCAACTACATGAATTAATAATTAAGAAATCAACTGGCAAATTCTCGCCAATAACCTCAGGCAATCAAAATACACAGGGCATCGTAGTATCGCTCAAACTGCTGCATGGCGGACTCGGTCAGGCGCGTCAAGAGCAACCGCTACTCTTTCAAGGCACGACAATCACGCGCAAAATGGGCTTCCCCGATGTCATTATGCCCGGTGACGTGCGCAACGATCTCTTCATCACCTTGGAGCGTGGTGAATTCGAACGTGGCGGCAAGAACACTGCCAAAAATATCCTAACAACTGTGGTTGTGCTCGATACAGGTGGTACTATTTTAACCGAATGTTTATGGGGCGCTTCCGGCATGGATCCGCAGAACTATTATAAATCCATGATATTATATCATCAAAACTCACCCTGTTGGAATGAAATGCTGCGCTTGAGTGTGCCAATCGATAAGTTCTCCACCGCGCATGTACGTTTTGAATTTCGACATTGTTCCACACGCGAAAAATCGGATCCCAAACTCTTCGGATTCAGTTTCGCGCGTCTAATGGACCCTAGCGGTGCANCCGAATGTTTATGGGGCGCTTCCGGCATGGATCCGCAGAACTATTATAAATCCATGATATTATATCATCAAAACTCACCCTGTTGGAATGAAATGCTGCGCTTGAGTGTGCCAATCGATAAGTTCTCCACCGCGCATGTGCGTTTTGAATTTCGACATTGTTCCACACGCGAAAAATCGGATCCCAAACTCTTCGGATTCAGTTTTGCGCGTCTAATGGACCCTAGCGGTGCAACTCTAACGGATGGTCAACACGAGTTGTACGTTTACAAGTGTGAGGATGCGGGCAAACTGCATGCCGGTAATTATCTAAAGTTGCCTAGCAAACCAAAGGATCCACACGCCAAAGTGGATTGTAGTTCAATATTTCATCGTAGCTCGAAAGAAGTATTTGTATCAAATCGCTGTTATGCTCAACAAAGCTGACGCAAAACGCTGATCTTCTCTCACTGCTTCAATGGCGCACAAATCCGAGACTATACAAGACTCCCTTACGGGCGTTCTGCGACTAAACGATGAGGAGCTGGTTAAATTTTTGCAGGATGTGCTCGACGCACTATTTGCCATGTTCTCCAACGAAGAGGGCAATAGCACAGAGCATTCAGGTCTGGTGTTCCATGTGCTTGTCAGCATTTTCAGCGTATTGCAAAGCAATAAGTTCCAACATTTTCGACCTGTAATGAATGCCTATATTGAAAATCATTTCGCCGCTGCGCTCGTTTATAAGGGACTAATTACATCAGTGGAGCATATGGCGGTTTTTATGACCAAAGCCGAACATCCTGATCCATTCCAGAAATGTTTCAGTTCATTAGAATATATTTTCAAATTGCTGATACAATCACGAAAGTTGTTTGCGCGTGCTACTGGGGGCCAATATGAGGACTCTTTCCGTAGAGATTTGCATTCGCTCTTTACAGCTCTTAATGGTATGTTGGCAGTGCCATCCTACGATGTGATCATACCAACTCAAGAGGCGCTATTGAACTCCACGGGTGTGGTGCTGGAACAATTAAAGGACACATTACCGGCGCCTGAGTTGGGTATGTTGGCGCGAAATATGCTAGATGCCATACCCAGAGATGCACCTGTGCGGCTGATACAGGCGAAATTGAATGCTGTTAAGGATCTAGTGTCCGGTGAACTGTTTCACGAGGATGGTAAGTATGCCTCCATAAACTAAATATGTGCATACATACTTAACACTTCCGCAGACGTAATTTCTTAGCATTTACCAGAAAGGGAATCATGACATTCGTGATCGAATGATTACTTGTTTCGAATCGAATAAAATAAAATTACAGCTCTTTTCTCTCCAATATAATTTAAATTGAGGCGGATTCGCTATCGAGTGCCGTAATCTCAAAATGAATTTTCAAATCGAGTTCCATTCGATCACGAAAGCCATGGTCTGGGCGTAACATTTAAGATTTTAACGAAGCTCAAATTTTAAACTTAATTTTGGAAGTTTCGTTGGTGAAATTTTCTATATATCAAAAAAATTAACACCCTTTCATAAAAATTTTGAACTTTTTACTTTGATTTCTTAAAAATATTTTGAGTATGCAATTTTGTAGCCCATTCTTTTTTAGTATAATAAAGTGCAAGTTTGAAGCAGCTGGGATTTGCCGTTGATTTTTTGCAATTTTTTGTGGAGGGTGTTGCTAGTTTTTGACATATAAAAAA